GAGAGAGAGAGAGAGAGAGAGAAGAGAGAAGAGAGAGAGAGAGAGAGGGACATCTAAAGCAACGTAGCGCACGGTGGAGGGAGGTCGGCGAAGCGGAGGTGAAGCGCGACCGGCCCTCTCTACTCCAGGGGCCCAGACTAGTCCAGTCCGGGACAGCACGCCTCCTGCTGCACGCTCCACGAGGTAGAACGACGAACGTAGACACGACGACGTTAGGACCGGTACGACGTTACGCGCGCGGGCCCAGCTTTGGACGCGTAAGGCTCCCGGCTTCTCGCCCTCGATCACGCATCGGCGCGCCGCGTAACCTGTTAGCCGCGACCAAATTTTGGATTTTTGCGCGGGGAAATCTTGTGTAGGCGCAAGTATCTTGTCCCTTCCTCGGTATTATCACTCGCGAGGTCTGACGAGGTCTCTTTTGCCACTCGGTGTCGATCGAATTGCGACTTGGACACTGATATATCCAAACGCGTTGTTATTCCTTTGGATGTATTCTTCAACGACTCGTGTAGAGGATGTTGTTTCCTGGAAAATCCAAAGTCCAAAGAAGACACTTTCGACGATGGAACACTCGAGGTAGATCGTAGATCTTCGAAGTACTTCGATTGGAACGAGTTGGCGGAAAAAAGTGAAACGAAGACAGAAGTTTCCTTTTGACTGTATCATCCTTTTGCTCTCGATGAGAGAAGTCTAGGACTCACGTTCGTACGTACTTCTAACCCACGACTAATCGTGACCGGACGATCACCGCCAATCACCGTTCCATCGAAAATCATAACCGATATATCGAAGTCGCGCGGCTCGGTCTCTCACCAAGACGACACATCGTCGCCCCCACCCGTGAACACCACGCGTCCAGCCACGCGATCAGCAGGATCAGCGATCCGGAAGGTTTCGCACGGCAACGGTGACCAACGAGCCGGGTATTCTTAATGGACACCTGATCCACGGTGATTGACCACGTTGTCCAGCTGCATCGAGCAACAACGTTATCGGGGTGACGATGATTCTATCGCAATCCTGAAACTCTCTTCGGGATCATCGAGAACCCATTCGAGAATCATTTCAACATTTCGATACTTTGAAACTTTTTTTTTTTTTTGAGAACTCTCCACTCGCGGATAGGCCCATCGAACGAGGGTTCAGGTCAAGTGGTGCTGTGACAATTTACACGTGTGGAACGTGCGCGGGTATGAGAGACCATTGTGAACGGTGCGACGGGCCACCCGAACGGTCAAGTGAGCCGCCGCGGGGTGTTCAGTGAGCGCAATTTCGAGAGACTTCAACGCCCGGTAAGGAGATAACTGAGGGATATAACCAGACAGCGAGGACGACCACGGTCACAACGACAACGACGACGACGAAGCTATTCGTATTCAGGTGAGACTCGCCAGATAAGCCGAACTCGTCGGACTAAGTAACTCTTCCCATTGATGCGATAGAAGACCGTCGTTATCACCGGCAATGATGATTTATCGCGGCTCACCGGATTGCGTAAAACTGTCGCAACGCAACAGATCGTTCGACCGATCTGTCTTGCTGCGTTTGTTAGATTTCTTCGAAGACGAAGTTATCCCGCGTGTAATGCATATTTATGAATTTAAGAGAGAAATTACTTCATTCACGACAGAAAAGCTGTCCTTGCTTTCGGTGATAAATGAGAGACGAATGGGAACTAAAGAGTAACGTTTCATTATATCTCTTCTGGGAATGTTATTAAATTTCACGAACGAAGAGTAGAAGAAAGCATTGAACTGAAATCAAGCGTGTCGGGTGATATTTACAGATTTAAAATGTATATGCATTTTCTTTCCCTATATCTCGTTTTAGTTAGGTCACAGGACAAGTAACATTAATAATTTTTTTCTCGTCAAATAGAAACATAATTATTATTATCGATAAAATTAATTAATCACTCGCTTAATTTTTATTCTTAGTTTTTAATTTTACAATGAAAACTATATTTCAACTGATTAAATTCGAATGTGTAATGGATCGACTTGTGGCGAGTTGATGCAAAATCATACGCACATTCCCCCTGCGAAAATCGTGAATGGGGCAATATTCTGTGGTCACCGGTACATAAACCACGCACACATATGCGAATCCCACCTACCGATACACGCGCAGCGGGTTACACTCTGTGTTTACATTCGCCAATTACAGATAGGCGCTCGTACGCAATAATGATAGATCTGCCGGCGTGGCTAATGACTGGCGAGTTGCCCGGCGCAAAAAGTGACGGGCATGATTTTCGAGCGGAGAAGAGTACGATCCGGCGAAGCCGACGGCTTCCATTGTACGCGAAGACGCCGCTGAGGGAGCGGAAGTACGGGATTGAGATTGAGAGAATTAAAATAGGTGGCGTATATAGGAGCGTTATAAATTACCGCGCCAAGAGTTTCCGGCGCGGAATGTACGTTGCTCATTGCCGTTTCGGCCGCTGGATATCATACGCCTAATAATTTTAAATCGAGGAGATATCTCATCGGAATGTTAACAACCGATACGTTTACATGCAAACTCGACGACATTTTGAAAACTCTATTTGGCGCTCCTTTTTTGCGCTCCTCTGAGCGCGGTGCGATCCTTCCTGGACATGCCCGTACATGTCAGCAGGCGAGGTAAATGATGGATCGAGCACTTCCTGATATTCCCCGTCGGCGGCAAATTCTTCGCATCACCGGTCCACTTGGTTTTCTTTCTAGAAGCACCTATTCGCGCGCTCACGCAATGTAATACAAGTACACTACGTGCGCGACGTTGGCTCGACATAATCGCAGGTAAATTAGAGATCGTCATCGCGTCGCAATTATTCAGAGCCGTAAAAGTCTTAGACGCCACGGATGGCATATTACCGTCGGCATTAAGAGCGTTACTCAAACAAAATTAACTCTATTAATTTTAAAACGGCTGGACTCCCGTTCGGCCTTCCACTACTACGTTCGTCGCTCGTCGTTATGTTGCCCAAGGTATTTGGCTTTCGTCGAACTTGATTACCGCATCGATAAGATACAAAGGATCACGAGCGTGCACGCCACTCTTTACCGGAGAGTAATTCGCCGATTAATCGAGCTAGCTCATAAATTGATCCGTCAAGATCCGTCGTCGATAAAACGACACGCGAACCGGTGCAATATTCCGCGATTGATTCTCGAATATTTGACGGAGTGCCTCGGAAGTAGACGTTTGCGACACACGATCAAGCCTTACTCGCTCATTATAATCGTGTTCTCATTAATTATATCGAATATAAATAATCGTATCTAAAGTTTCGTTTCTGACGATAACGACATTCACGCGCCTTGTCCCGAGGGATGTCTTTACATCGATATCTTCGCATCGAATGGATAAGATCGGCGGGGATACGCTCTGAGCCTGATGCAAAACTGACTCATCCATCTTCCCTCGGCCCATTATTCGAAAAAATTCGTTTCTAATCGCGTACATAAACGGCATCTGCCCCTTGTTTCCACCCTTGCGTCTTTCACGTACCGCCGCTACCCTGTACGTTCACCCGAAGACAACTGCCTCCTTAGGGGCAGTTGTGGCGTCAGGTGGCACTCGTTAAAGTCAGCTAAAAGTCGTTGGCAGTTAGGAGAAACATGGGTTGACAGTTGATAGTTGGTGACGACGACCTCGTGCTATCTTAATAGGAGATGAAACCGTCATTAGAACCGATAATGGCACGTCATCTGTCAACAGTAGCGATACCTACCGTCGATAGCGCGCTCCGAAGATTCTTTAAAAAAGATTAATCTGTTACATCCTAAAGACCTGTTCGATTCTCTCGATTTCTTTTTATTTTGACAAATAAATAATAATTGGTTGTATTCCTTGACTCGTTAACGATCGCGTCGCATTTAGGATTTCGATTCTCCATTTCGAGTTCGTTTCCCGACGCAACTTTCAACGTTCTTTCATCCTAGAATGTCAATGTTGTAAATATGTTCGCACATTGATCATAGATAACATCCGTCAGCGTGGACTCGGATGGAATCCCAAGCCAATCGTACTCGAGAGAACGATGGTTTGTCGCGGGCGCCATTATCCCAGCTGGACATCCGCATAATTTCCTACCGTCATTCCACGTCTAAGCCTACAACTCATTCCGACTACGAGGAAGAGAGGGCGCAGATCCACAAGTGCAAGTGGCTCGATCGAGAATTTCAATAGTTTCCTCCGCGTCAGGAATGACGACGCGTTCGAGGTAGCAACGAGAGTTGCAACGTAAGCGATTGTCACCATTAGCGCAAATAAAATATTTAGCAGCAACGTTCGCGCAACGTTGAAAGGGGACTAATAATTTAATAATTCATATATCCTTGCGTGAGAAAAATTAATCAATAAAATAGAATAATCGAATAATCAATCAAAATCGTATGTATATTTCAAGTCAACTCTCGAGAATATCAAAGGATTTTTTTCAGAAAATTCGCGTATATCGATGAGGGAGCTACACTTTGCAAGTTACATTTTTCCATCCAATATTTATACTTATTCCATTTAATTTCGCGTCTCGGATTACCTGTCACATTCAGTCACACGCAGCGGAATCGGCCGGACTTTCCCAGATGGCTTTCTCGCGATACTCGCGAGAACAGATGTAGCGAGATTTCTATTTTCGACGCGCGTTCTCGCGTGCTTTTTGCCGCGGAAATCTCGATCGAATCGCGCACGTCGCGAGCGATTCTCCGATGACGCTGCGAATCCGTAACACGTCACGTTCCGCATGTCTCGCAATCCGATTGAGATAACGTTCGCCTTCGCCGAAAGAAGTCGTGCGATTGGTATACCAGAGTATACCATCATCTCCACCTCGCTGTGCAATTAGGTTTCCACTTTTAGGACTATTACTCGCGCGGAGCGCGCGATGAATACTTATCCAATCACGAGGATAAGACAGACGTTGTCCTGCGCTATCTTCTAATGTGGCGTGTACAGGGCGCATCGAGAATTTACGATGTTGCAAAACGATTGCGCATCATTGACGCAATCATTCGTCCTGTAATATTTCCTCCGTCTATATAGCGTCAGTCGATCGTGCCAGCATTAGCGGCTTTTTTTACGTTTTACTTTCTTACACGCCCGTATTTCGCGCGCGTAATTTCGGCGACAGCCGAAGACTCTACCTCGCAATTACGTCTATAACGCGCCGTTATGTCTTCTATAGTAGTCCGGAATGTGGTTTAGGCATAATAGGACCCGTCTCAAAAACCTGATCGTTTTTTTTTAATGCAGCGCCTGTCAATCTTTCATTGGGTTGCAGTTTAATATCGAGCGAGCGTCGTGTTCTTAATTCGACGCGGTGCGCGCGGAAAACCTTGTATCGGCATGTGCGTAAAAAAAAAAATCCAATGAACATTGCGGCGGATTGTTAACGCCTCTATTATAGTATTATCAAATTGGCGAGCGAACGCGAAGATTAATTAACACACTCGAGTGATCAAAGCGTAAGAGCGACTTGCAAATATCTAGCGCGTGTTATCATATAATATCGAGCGCGATTATATTCGTGCGCATCGAGATTATTATTTTCATTTCATTTCATAGTTTTCGATTATTACAGATAGAGTCTCAGATAGGTAGGTAGTTTCCGCTCCTAATCAATCAGCTAATAATTGTTGGAATTACGGATAATTTATGAGCAGCGGATATGACACGATATGCCGATCGATCCTCCGGATCGATCGCGTCTGCTTCCTGATAGGCATCTAATCGGCTGAAAACCCGTTATGGATCCCGGTCTGTCATCGGCGAAGATGCGACGAAGCCAGGGCGAGATACGAGGGGACGAGGAATGCGATCTGAATGATGATCGAGTCGATTGCGAGACGATCGCGCGGCTGCCTCTCTCGCGGCTTACTCGGCTCCTCTCCAGTATTGTTTATCAGCGAGCGAGAGCGGACTGTCGGGTGGTTAATTGCGGAGCGGTCCTCCTCGTCGTCGTCGTCGTCGTCGTCGTCGTCGTCGTCGTCGCCGCAGCGGTTATACAGTTAACCGGCGACGGCGGTCGCACCGCGTGCGCTCTCGCCGCATGTGGCGCGCAG